TGCGGAAAAAATGATTTGCAGCCAGGTCGGGGGGAACTCGGTCATTGTTGGAGAGGAGTTCCAGCCCCTGCGGACATCCCGAGGCCTTTGCTGAGCCAGGGAGGTTAATGGGGGCTGCCTTCCTGCTTGCCCTACATCTTAATTGCTCAGAGTCCAGCCCCAGCAATCCTTGACCAAAGGGTGCCACAAGGTCTCAGAACAGATTTCACAAAAGACAGAAAAATCGCTGCTACAAAATGCTGAATAGTGCCGGCTGCCAGTTTCCCACCACCAGCAATGGCACTGGTTTGGTGGTGGTTCCACGTCCATGGCCATCTCCTGTCTGTTCACAACCTGTCCAGTATTTGTTTTACTGATTGTATCATAACCGAGACTTTTCATCAGTATGCTAGCTGACTGAGAAGCAGCCAGTGGAAATAAATCCGGTATGCCGGATTAATGCTGTTGCTACTGCTGTTTATTTTCACTAATGTGCAAATGACTATCGTTTGTGCATGTTTGGTTCTTTGTCTAAACAAGACAAAAAAAAAAAAACAAAAAAAACAAAAAAAAAAAAGCCCCTTTCAGCTTTTCAAAGGAATTGGATTTAAACTTTATTTTATGAACTAGCTCAATTGCTTCATTATTTTAGTGAACAAATCCATAGTTCTCAAGTAAATTTTTTCTGTGGCCACACATGGGAAAGACTAATTTAAAACTACCAGTTTTGTTGTAGTGAAGGAGGCATGAGGACCATAAGCTCATCAGCTAGTGAATGTTTTCTTTTTGTCTGTATTAGACTAGAAATGGATTAAAAGTCTGCGAAAGCTGAATACAAATATTTACATACAGATATGGAAGTCTGATTGAAGTATTGTAAAAACGGAGCATCAGCATTGATTACCTAAGGCCTGGAAACTAAATATTTGTTTCAGCCAGTAGTTTAATGTTATTTGAAAGTGCCAATAAGTCACTGGAACTTTTCTTTTCAAGCTCTGTGTAAAAAGGAGAAAGTTAGAGGCCTAAAGAAGCCCTGACGTGCTAGTTCATACTTTCTCTGTTCCATAATACCTATTCATCACTGTCGTTTTTAAGTAGCTCAGTGCTGTGCCAAGTCTTTGAGAAATTATGCAAAGATACGAACATATCTGAAAAGAACAGTAACAAGAAAAGCAAATGAGCCTTCAGAGGTGATGGTTTTATAACAGAAAATACATCGGAGACAGCCTACTTTAGCCAGAAGTCGTGTATCACTGAATTTGAACTCATGTCATGAAACAAGAACTTGAAAACATAGTTCTAATGTAAATTGCTATTATTTGAATTTTTCTGACATTTAAATGAAACGTACAATCAAAAAAGCTAAACTAATAAATTTTAAACTTTAGAATGCAAATTATTCCTAATCATATGCTGGAGAGGGCAACAGTGAACACTTTCTTCTGTTTGGAAATCAGATATTTTTATGGTAATTATACTTAAGAGTTTTTTCTTGTCTGTTTGCGTAACGTGTTTGATTTAGTCTGATTAAGCAAACATCATTAAACTTGGACTGGCAAAACTTCATTCTTTTCCTCCTTTCTCCTCCTGTATCAATATGACTAAAAATGGGCTTTACTGCAAATGTACCTTAAAAAGATTTGCAACATGCAAAATGCCTGTTTCATGGTAGGTCAAGCACAAGGTGTCACTAGTTCTACAAGTTCTAAGAAAATGCTCACTGTGCCATTAACAATTGAGTCAAAATTATTTTACAAGTACTTACACAAGATAAGGATTATTCTTCTGGAAGCAGTAAACTTGAATAAAAGGAGTTAAATGTGGTTTTTAGTTTAAAAATATTTTTCTGGAGTTGTAGTTTATAGTAGGACTCTTTCTTCATGTGCCTGTATGTCAGTGTTTTGTTTTGTTTTGTTTCTTTTTTTGGTATGTGTGTACCAGAATCACTAATGCTAAACTGAAGCAGGGCAATTAAATTCTGGATGTAAGAGCCTAAATGGGGGGTGGAAGAGGAGGGAGAGGACCCAGACAATTTATATTAGTTAATAACTTGCAGTCTTTTTTTGAACATTTTTTTTTAATATAAGAAAAAATATGTAATAGCTTTTAGCTTTTGTGAAATGTCCAACAGTCTTAAATATAGAATGCATTGGAAAAATACTTTAAGGTGCTTAGAATAAATAATTTATAATTATATAAGGAGGACAAGGCTCCTTTGTGTCAATACAGTATGTCAAGTAAGTCAAGCAAAAACACAAGAAAAACATGTCAGAGTGTTAATTTACCATTTTGTTCTTTATGTCTGGTCATTCTTCAAAGACTTATTACCATGAAAAATATAGAATACATTATGAAGCTTAGGTTTTTCTCTCTCTGTTCCCCCCTTCCCTGCTTGTGATCATCCTTATGGTCACATACATAGAATATATTAGCGCATCTGAAAGAATGCCCTAGACTGGTAAATGCAGAATTTAGAATGTATGAATGCCACATGAATTTATGAAATATGAATGAATCGCTATCCCCTTTATTTATATCCTTAACAAGGGAAAAAAAAAAAAAAAAGCTTTTAAAAAGCAAATTTAAAATCTATGAATTTTGAGTTTCTGTAGCAGATATTTAGCTCATCTTGGTAAAGTGCTGTCCAGAATTATACTGTCCATTTTAATGGATTTTTTTATTTTTATTTTTTTTTCATGTGCCATAGTCTCAAGGATTTCTTTTAATCACAAATAGTTCATTACAATTTTCCTGTATTTTTAGAGTGATGGACCTTTTTAAAGTCTTTCACCTGGTATGTTCTCATGCATTTTCTTGACATCATTTCCCTCAGCCAAATACAAACTGGTGGGAAGACTGTTCGTTCTGTATGGTAATATCTTGCTGGACACGATGTGGTTCACTGTGGTACTAGGTATGCATCATTATAAGGATTTTAATATGGGCTAACAGGAATTTGATGCGTGTGGTGCTACAAAGTCGTTAACAACTGAATGTTTCACTCCCTTAGGCCTCTGAAAATGTTGATCTGTGTACCACCTTACCAGTGTTTGCAGTGCAGGACCTATAAATGGAGACAGTCGTATCCTTTAAAAGTCCTTAAGGGCGTAAGTAGCTATTTTTGGAATTCCCACTGACAGCAGTGTGGCTGTTCCCTGAATTTGAGTGGCTGTGTCTCTGCAGCTGGGGAAGGTCTGGGCTGTGGTTTCACCCCAGGTGTGCAGGGTGCTGGCACGGCTGTGCTCAATGAGCCGGGCAGGCAGCATACACGTGCACAGAGTTGTGGAAATCATTCTCTCAGCACAAGCCAAACAATCTAATACTCGTAGGTAACATTATGTACCAAATATATATGGCTATTTTTAATCCTGGAAAACTTTATTGCCTGTTACAGAATCGTGGTCTATGTATTCCGGATGCATTTGTTGCTTTAGCTCCTGTTTTTCTGACAAAGATACACAAACTATGGCCACTTACATAACCAGGTGCATTCAATGTGTTCCTATTAGTGCTAGGCTCTGCTTCCAGCCCCAAGTTGCCAAGGAAAGAGCTGTGGAGCTGAATGGACGTTGAAAACAGTTGTCAAGGTTCCAGTGAAGCTCAAGAAATAGGTAGGATTTGTCACATTTTCCATGGTTCCTTGTAAGCTGGACAATCAAACATCTTTCTTAAGATCTTTTATTCATTTAGTCTAGGCAAGTGCTGCTTTTTTACCCTGTCAGCTCCCTTTCTGGAAGGCTTAGGAGTGATACTGGCATATTTCAAGGAGTAATAACTATGTGTTGCAGAGCCGGCAGGGGGTACAGCAGCCTGCTGCTACTGGAGCGTGGGGCGGGCTGTTTGGTTTTGCTTCCCTCAGTGCATGGTTACATTAGAATATATGTTTGTTTGGTTCCTTTTTTTCTTTTTCCTAAAAGGTATCTAGCATAGTATTATCGCTCATTAAGCTTGTGCCTGATACATATTTATTTGTGACTCGGTAACTTTTAAATTATGCTGAATATAACGTTCAGCAACTTTACATAGTGTGTGCTTTAGGCTTGTCATTTAATCTGCATGTTTCTAGTGATGTGAATGTCAAGAATTGATTCTCCTAGCTTATGTTTGTATGGCTGTGTCCCTGCTGTTTTCCTCACAGAAGTGCTTGGCAAGCTTGACTGCATTTCTCACTCTGTATATTCTGGTTGCAGGAGCAAGAGGGGCTCACATCAAGTGTGGCTTTCCTAATAGCTGTGTAAGGGATTATGAAGTTACATCACACACATTCTTCAGAGGTCTTCTCTACCTGTCTGCCCATAATCTGCTTTTGCTTTAAGCTTGGGCTAGTAAACACAGCTGAGGGTGTAGATTTGAACCTGAGCTTGGCTGCAGTCTCAAGTGGCATTAATCCCACCTCCCACCTTGCTGAGAAGGCAGGCTAGCCAGACCTGTGTGTGCTTATTTCATTAGTACTGTCTCACTGTTCTTTCTACCTCGCCTGTGCTTTTCATTACAGTCCCTTACTACTTTTTTTTTTTTTTCTGCAGCGTAAGCGATCTTGTCTGACTCAAATTTTAACCTGCTTAGTTTCACCTGTGTTTCTACAGTGCATAAACAGAGATGTCATCCAAGAAAGCGTACTTTCCTATTTACTTGCTTTGTAGACTATATTCCTTAGTGTTAAAGGTTCCTGCTCCAAATTGCTTTGTCTTCATGTACAATAAAAAACAATTTTGTAATGTCACAAGCAGCAGCTTTATGATAAGTTGAGAGAGAAGAGTGTTCCTGAGAAAATGGCTGAAAAACCCCAGTTTAGTTCACAGTAGGAGGAGTGTGCTATGCTAAAGCAAGGGCTCATCAGCATCATCATAAACCCTGGTGGATGTTTCAGATGTCAACTGGATGCTAAAATAGAGATGCTCTCCGGATTTGGCTAGCTGCAACAATTATGTTCTCTGTCTTTTTGAAAAATGATAGTAGTAATATAAAAATGATCTTGATTTAATGGTTGAATAATTCATCTTACTGTTCAGCTGGGTAAAAGTAGAGGAATTAACATGAATAATTAGCAGCCAAGTAAAAAATCTATTACATTGTTTTGTTCTTTTTTTTATTAAAAAAAGACAGTTTTAAATTTCTTTTAAAACACAGTAAAACTTATATTTTTCACTAAAGTATATTTGTTGCTTTGTTTTAGTCTGTCAGCAGCTAGTCCTCTGTCTTCTAATACTTGCAGAATTTTCAGGTTATGTTCTTGTTTATCAAAACCCAGAAATTCTTTCAAGGGGACTATAAATGTTTCAGTGTGTGGATTTTTTTATTTTTTATTTATTTATTTATTTATTTTTGTAGTGGTCTGTAGCAGATGTTGTTGACATCATTGGCTTCAGCAAATAAGTTAGATTATCATTTCCCTTGACTTCAGTGTTCATTTGCAAGCAGCTTTCATAAAAATATCTGAAAATCATTAGTTTTCTTCTTATAGTCACTTGTTTCAGGAGGATGCAGAAGAGGAGTGGCTTGATAAAATGGTGTTGACCAATACAGCGGTTAACAACATTATCTTTAAATAGTTCTTTTCCATTTTTTAATTTATTTTTAATATATATTTTTTTTAGTATCTGTTTGTAGAAGTTATTAAAGTAAAGCTACATATCCTGCAGGTGAGTTCTGGAAAAAGATCACTCTTATTCCGATGGCCATGGTTTCAGCACTTGTAGCTGACATAAATTGTGTGTGTGTGATGGTTAGGGCTGCATCTGGACAAAAATAATTATAACTAGGCGTGTGGTTCACATCAGTGCTATAGGTTTGGATCCAGAATTACTTAGGTAGGCAGGAGACACTGTATCCAACTCCATGAAGGCAGAGTAAAGGGTGGTGAGCTGTAGGTCAGGCAAGTTGCTGTGCGGAGTTCCGTTTTGCATGGTGATGTTGCTGCTGCCGCCGTTCTCCATCTGGCAGTGAGAAGGGAAACACTGGGAAGACGATGGGGATGATGAAATGAGAACTAGGGGATCCACGGCTAGACTGTCATCTTTCAGCTCCTCCCAAAGGTTTCCTGTGACAAAACAAAAAGGATCGGTTCAACTTTCTTTACGCATGCCTTTTTGAAACATGGTTTCGTGTGAGAAATCAGCAATTATACAGTTGTGTGTGCTGTATGTGTATGTACTTTTAATCACTTGTGATTGAGAAAGGGGAAAGATGGTTTAGCGAGTTATTATTTGTCGCCATTATAAATTTAAATCTTGGGGAAAGCAGTGTTAATTTAAGAAAATTATTTCTGTTGATAATTGGCAAGGTTCTGTTGCAAATACATCCTTACTGAAGTATAACTTCCAGTTTAAAAAAGCACCAAGAAAGGGGAAGTCACCTCTGTAATCTTTGTAAACTACTGAAGATAAATCTGCAAATAATACTGCTGGGCTTCTCATATGCTTATGGCACAGCTTTCTCTGGGTTGCAGACTAAGTTACTGGACACGCAAGTGACCTGAGGAATCAAAAGATCTGAAATATTCATTTTTTTTCCCTGAATTATACAAAAATATTCTCTGACTTTCCGTTGAACATGCCTGTCTCAGTGACAGCACCAAAGAAAGTGCTGCAGGAGGGCTGCATTTCCCATGTCCCTCTCTGAAGGTTTTTTTGGGGGGTGCTGGCAGGGATACTGCTGCTCCAAGGTTATGCCTGTCTTCTCCAGGCTATCAAGTGGGATAAAACTTTTTTGCTTGAAAAAGCTTGATTTTGTGCGTGTATGTAATGATTTTCCTCCCAGTGAGCAAGTTCTAGAACCTTTGATTTGAGTTTGGTAATTTGGTAAAGAAAGAAAGAAAGGAAAGAAAAAAAAAAAAAAGCTTAGATAAAGGTAAATAACTTAAGGAAAAGGCAAGTACAGAGGGAAGATGGAATCATATCATGTTAGTGAAGCATGAGGAATACTCCCACTACAAACAAGCGTGTTAACCTGAATAAAATGGGCAGAGATTAAGAGAAATGAATGGAATGTGAGACCTGGCTGCCTGAAAGAGGAAGTGGCAAAGGATTCAAAAAAATTGCATTGTTAATCCTGGTAAAGCAATCTGGGCATGGCAGGATTGCGGAATATTTGTGACTGTACAATGGCAAGGTAATTGCATTTGCTGAGTGCTGTGGATTATTAAAATTGCATCTTTTGCCCTGTCTTTTAGGCTGCTTTGTGTAACACTGTTTGTCTGTGCAGGAAGGCAAACCTTGCGTGATTTTTGATGCTGCAAGAGCTGCTCATTTGGAGGCCACAATTTTTATTTTGTGTGTTTATATATATAAATGTGTAAACTTGGTATTTTTGATTATTTTTCTTGCATGGAAAACTATATACAAAATCCTATCCATTCAAGACGATTCAGTTATTTAATACTGGGAATTTTGGTGTCAGCATTGCACGACTAAGTATTTAAGAACACCTCAGAAAACATAATTATTCAGTGCATAGATCATGTGGGTGCCTGGGAAGCCTGTGAGGGAGGATAGCACTCTTTTTAGCAAGATATGGGAAGGCTTTGAATCAATATTGACGAAGAAGGTTCCAAATGTATTGCGATATATAATATCAGTAATCTTTGGCAAGAGGAAGAAGAGGTTTTTTTTTGTAAACCCTGGATGTAAATCTGTAGCTGTCTTGGGAAACTTTTTGAAGACATGACACAAAATCCCATATTGCACAGAATAACGTAACCTAGTGAGGTGGTGCTTGCGGCGCGCACAAGGAGTTCAAAAAGCCAAGCAAATCTTATTTTTGCTAGTGTTTGCGTTAACGTGGGATGCATTTAAAAAAGGAAGGGGGCAGATGGGATTGTACGGGGTGGGCTGTGACGTGCAAAGGCCGAGCCTAGGCCGTGGGAGTACCTTGGATGCCCACCTTGGAGGTCGAAGTCGGTGAGGGATGGGTTGAGAGCATCGATGTCGGTGCTGAGGTCCCCTTCTTGCAGGAGCGGGTCATGCACCGTCCTGGCCGCGCTCTGCTCCGCCAGCACCTTCATGCCACACGCCGGGGGTGTCTGTGCTGGCAGCGGGGAGTCCTGGCTGATGCCAGGCTGGCTTCTGGCTTCGTTGGGAGCCTCTCCAGAAGGAAACAGCGGCTGGTGCTCGGGCGTCTGCTGCATGAGCGTGCTGGACATGGGAGGGAAGCCCGGTGGTGAGGTGTAGCAGGCGGTTTGCTGCCCTCCCAGCAGGCTGGGTACTGGGTTTTTGACGTGCAGGGCTCCAGGAGTGTGGATGGGATGGAGAGGTGGTGGTACACCGGAGGAAAGAGAGGGCTCGCCTAAGGAGTGGGGTTGGACTGCCATCTGCCGGGAAAGGGATGCGCTCCCAACAGCGGTTGGGCTGCAGGACATGATAGAAGACCTCAGCTTTTCGCTCTTGTCGCCTATCAGCGTGTCAAGCTCTTCTGCAAAACAAGGGAGGGGGGGGGAAAAAAAATCCACAGATTAATTTCTAGCACAGCCTTCATCTTCACGGTTCACAGCTGGGATTTCAGAGGAGTGGAATGGCAAACAAAAGTGCAAGTCTTGCAATGAGAACACCAAAAGCCTGAAATGCTTTTCTAAATTGTCAGTGCTATGTGCATATTTAGTAGATTGTATTTCCCTGTTTAAAGATTGCGTATTTATCAGTTAGTTTCAATTTTTGTTCTGTAGTAATTATTGCAGGGTTGTTTTGACATCTCACTAAACTTCAGGATGAAGAGAGAATTTTTTTCTCATTGTAGTGACAAAGTTGTGCTTTTGGGGCCTATTTAGAAGTACTCCTGCAAAACCAGGTCTTATTTAATTCTGCTTTTTAAAGTTTACGTTATGGAAAAATTCTTAAATATTTTCCTAAATTATGCGTAAATTCCGTTATACAGCTTGGTGCATTTTGCAGGGAAAAGTTCTGGGGACCCCTGTTGGAGAACTACCACGCTAATACATTACTGACCTGGCTTTGCCATACTCTTCCTTACAGCAACTGGGTCTTTCCTCTTCCATTTCTGAAGCTCCTCCTGCATCTTATCAATTTTGGCTGGATTCAGAGCCCACAAACAGCCTTTCCGAGAAGAATTGCCTGTCTTGTTTTCAACTTTCTCAAAGCATTTGTTCAAAGATAAGTTGTGGCGCACAGAATTCTTCCAGCCATCTGGAGCTGTCTGGAAAAACAAATCCAATCTAAGAATGGAATTTCAAGGAAAAAAAAAATCCCAAATATATTTCTCCATTTTGACGGTTGAGACTATAAGAAATGCTGATTAGATTTTACTTTCCACAATATGAAGTTTGTTTGTTAGAAGGAAGCCACAAGAAATGTTAGAGTCACGTTGTGCAGGAAGGGAGGAATCTGGTAAAACAGTAATTGATCTAAGCAAGAAGGTTGGCCTTTTCAGAGGGGCTGCTGGGGTTTTAAGAGTGAATTTGCAAATCGCAGGAATTAAGAGTGTAAGGAACTATATTCTAGAACTGTGAAGTAACAGGAAATCTGTCTTCTAAATCTGTTTTGGAACAGGTGGAAAAATTTCAAACACATAATTGAGGGATTACATGCTACTTGGACTCAAATTAAGTGTCCAGGCAGACTTTGAAAGAATTTTAGCCTGCTGCTGTAGGTGTAATGTTGTATGCTGGCCAATTATATCACCAAATGGTATAATTGCAAGCCCTACAGATGAGATACAGGTTTCTACATCTGATCACTGGATCTTTTTGCTTTACATTTATTTTTAACTCAGTAGTTAAAGCTGGAAGGCTCTTTAAACTGTACAGTACATATAAGCCTCATTCAAATTATTCCTCCATTCTTATTTAGGTGTTTGCTAATTAATGAGGTATAAAAAAAATTCCCTTCTTACTCTGAGGGCAGTTTTGCCTTCAGTCGGAAGAATGGAAAAAAGAAGACAACTTAGGGCCAAAAAGTCTTCCTCCTTTTTTCTCAGTTTTATACGGAGATATACATATATATATGATAGATTTTAGAAATAGTTTTGTCTCATAATTATCTGTTGATGTACTTTTTAAAACTTTTTTTTCTCTATTTGCAATAAGATAACATTTTTAAAAGATTTCTCTTACCTAACTTTAAAGTTTGAGACTCTTGGTCATTAAGTAAATTGGCTTACATTTTTTTTTTCCCATTTGTTTTTGATTTTTACTTTTTTTTTTTTGTTTTTCCTTATTGCTTGTAAAAGAACTGAAAATAATATTGCTGAAGAGAATATGAGGGAAACACTCAGAAAAAGGTCATGCTCGGATTCTGGTGGGAAATGCCTGTTAAAATTGATCTTGAAGAAATGGCACTGTAATATTTTATTGCATGTAAGTTTTTATGGAGCTTTGTTTGTTTGATTTAACTCCTTTCTGTTTACTTAGTCATGCAGCCAAAAGATACTGCCCATCGTGTTTAGGCTTTGTAAATTGGTGTGCTGATTCGTATCTAAAGATTTGTACAGCAAATTCCTGATGTGTCACTTCCTTGCTTTTCTTTTGGTAGGCGCTGTACAATGCTGTTGGTTGCACATGTGAGCAGGACTGCCTTAGCTCATTGCTGCTGCAGTATAATCATAAAGAAAAAGGGAGCAGGAAAAATGACTTGCCACATCATGGTAGGAATCATCAATCTGAGAAGCCCAGCTCCATTGTAACAGCTGCAACTGCTGGTTCAGCTAGACTTCTTTCCCTGTCTTTATAAGATCAGGATTTCATTTTATTTTATTTTAAATTAGTTTTCCTGTGTTGGTCAAATGACATTTGCAGAGGTGAGAGAGGAAATCTCTAGTGAGAATGACTTTAGAGCTCATTAGATTACAAAGAATGATCTTCAGTACAGGTGTATGTGAGGCTTTTTTTTCTTTTTCTGTTTTTTATAACCAATTTTGGATACTTCTTTTCAAAAAAGAAAAGCAAAACCAGTCTACCTTACCTGTGTGTCATATGAATTAAAAGAAGTTTAAAAACTCTCCAAGGCATGTGAAGTTGCCTAAGTGATACTCACTATTGGTCCTTATTCATGGATGCAAAATACGTCACAAATTTTTATATGTATTTATAAAAGTAAAACGTGGTCTTTCCTAGCTTGTTGTGAAGATCTGTCTCATGGAATAAAGAGTTAATAGCCCAACTGAGGAATCTGAGGGTCAAGTATAATGCTTTCTTCATTAAAAGTATTGATTGGTTGTGAAAGTTGAAAACATGATAACTAAAGCAGAAAGTATTTTCCTTTCATAACAGCACAGTTCCTTTTGGCCCACCTGATGTCAGCATTTCACTATTTTGTTAGCCAGCCCCATAGGCGAGACGACCTGCATTTCTATTTTTAAAAACAAACCAACAAAAATACCAAAACCAACACTTCTGCCACAGGGTAACACCAAAGATGCTCATCAGTGCTTCTCCCTTGCAGGTCATATTCAAGCTATTTTCTGCCAGTTCCAAAAGTAAATAAAACTTTCTAGGTAAAATGTGCACTTAGGTACTGAATGAACTAACCTGGAGGAATATTCATGTTTCTTGATGTGTGTGAGGCTGCGGATCCCTCTGTATCTAGACGGGATAATTAGTGTTTCTGCTAAGCCCCAGAGAAGACGGGAGTGGCGTGTGTTTCTCAGAGCTTTTCAGAATGTGTGGGGGTGTAAATTGTGAGGTAGTTTTAGAAATGTAAAAGCAAAAAGTACACAGATTTATTCTGGAGACTAGTGCCAAGAGTTGAACAGGTTCTTGCATTAAATGTGGTATTGCTGAGCAGAGAAAAATAGCTGTTTACCTAGCCGGGCCCTGAAGGAACGCTCCAGCAGCGTGCTCCTGTTACTGCTCTGCCACCAGTTTTTTTTTTTAAGTTAACATTTGATTCTCTCTTAATGAACTGAGCTCTGGCTTCTGAAGTTGCTCTCGTACAGTTGGGATCCCTTCCTATAGCTTGTTTTTGCCGTTGTTGCGTTCCGGGTAGTAGGGAAGAAGGAATTTGACAGTGCAGGAGAATACTTGCTGCTGTACGTCTGTCCGACCACAGACCTCCCTAACCTCTTGGACCACTGGCAATAACTCCAATTAACAAGATTAAAGCTTTGTGTTAGACTCACTAATCACTACAAAGAAAAAAAAGGATGACAAGCAAAAAAATATTATTGTGCAGACCCATTGATCCTGACCGCCTCTTGAAGTTTAAAGAGTTCAGTGATCTTGCAAAACCCTTTCTCTTTAAATCTAGGTCTCAAGAGAAGGGAGAGGTACATCAAAGAGTAATTCAACTTCAGCTGTGTAGATTTTTTTTTTTTTTTTTTAAGGACGTAGGAGTTGGATTGTTCTGTTTCAACTAGAAATGAGATTGTTGCATCATAGAAACTAAATTTGCTGCGGCAGCGAATACGAGTTAATTTGACTAGGCTTGTATCATCTAATGTCTCCCAGCAAGATTCGATGTACACTTGTACTCTGTTTCTCTCCTACTTAAATTGCTTCCCCTCCCCCATTGAATCCTGCTATTTGGTGAGTTATAGTATAAGCAACAAAATGTCCCTTGCTGATTTTTACATTACTTCATCTTTCTGAACTTTCCCCAAAAAAGGGAAGATAGAGAATGTTAGCTTTTGCCATATACTGGTAATTCCATGGGCTGTTGTAAAGACCAGAAGTCGATTGGGCTTAGTCCTTCTAAACATATTTTCTGTGCTTATTTTAAGGATGTTTGGGATGAAACTATTCAATCATTTGTCTGTATTTGTAAGTAAAATGCAAAAATAATACTGTTGCAAAATACTGGATGTTCCAGTAATAACCCCTGCACCATTCTTCTCCTACAGTGCCTGTGAAGGCACTAACCTCATTCTCATTGACTTTTAAATGATTTAAGAAAAATACATGAGGATCTGCAAAAGAACGCTTCCAGTGGAACAGGCAGGTTTTGATAATTAAGAAGAGCAAGGTTTAGATTAGCCATAAGACAGTTATTTAAAGCTGTAGGGAAAGTAAGGCACAAGTGAGCATATGTATACACACAGACAGGTGAACATGTAGCTCTATATGTGATATTTGGAAGTCTCCCCATATAAACAATTTACAATACTTGCACACAGTGTGTAGTTGAGGAAAGGATGCACGTCTCCTGAATATTTCTACCGTTTCACAAAGCCCTTAATTTCAGGACCAGGAAGATGACACCCGGCAGAGTTACAGTCTCAGGTATACTCTGTGCACATTGGCAGCAGCAGCATTTGCTTTGCAAGCTGATTAATTTTATTAATCAGATGTATTGTAAGGCAAAGGAGAATTAATTGCAGTTTGGTCTGATGAATAAATGTGGCTATGCTGTTATGCCTCCAAAACTTATTTTTAGTATTACCACCTGTGTGCCTGAAACTTATTTATGTTCTTCCTAGAAAAAAAGTAATCAGATAAGAATGTGTGACTTTGCTTTAGATTGTATAATTTGTGCTGTATGCTAAGAAACATAATTCTGCAAAATACCAGTTTCACGATGTGGTGGCCCAGGATGTTTTTCACAATTCTCAATTTATTTTCCTCTGTGTTATCAGTATTTCCTGCAACTGTTGGTAAATGCGTGGAAAACGGAATTAATATTTTAGAGCTGAAATAAAAATCTTTCTCTTGCCATGCGCCATTCTACCCATCTTCCCTTCCCCACTTACACAAAATTAAGTATTGATGATAATGTGTGTTTAGCCTAAAAATCATCTGTGTTCCTGTGACTTAAAAAATAAAATAAAATTGAGTGCTTCAGATTTATTCCATGGATTGTAACTAGTGGAGTTGTTGTGGGATATTTCTCGAATTAGGATGGTAGGGCTCTCTTTTTCTGTTCCCTTTTCTTGCTTGTTATAAATAATAGGGTAGCTAGTGATTCCTTCAGGAGGAAAGCTGGGGTTCTGGGAGTACAGAAGGGTAATGAAACCTAACAGTTCATCCATCATGATAATGTGTTTTTTTTGTTCTCTGATTACCGACATGTTCACTTTTATTTGTTTTGAAGGCATTCTTTATCCTCAGTTAGGATCCAAAGCCATTGCAAAATTGTATCGGATTATTCTTCGTACTCTTTTCTTGATACAAATGTTAGAATTGCCTTTCTGTAGTTGCATTAAATCCGTTTGAATTGCTGCATGTTTATTTGAAATAGGAAACCAAACAGACTCACGTTGGTTAATTTTTGGTTTTGGGTCTTGCTCACAATTGTAGGTCACTTGGTCTGGACTCTTAGTGAGGTGTTTTTGGAGAATCGGCAAGAAGAAAGCTCTGTGTTGAGCAGCAGCTGACAATTCAATTATAGCTCTTTTAGCAATGTAACTGTAATCCTTCTGCTCTGGGATCGTGTGCTGACTCATCTCTTTCCACTCACCTTCCATGTGCAAGAAGCCATTTTCTCTTAGAGCACGGATTTAAATTTCAATAGCACCCGGTGCAAACCATACACCCATACCTTCACCAGCATCACAGTGTAATTATGAGCTTAGTACCATTTATCACACATTATAGTTTTCTTTGTACGGTGTGTACAAGTGATGAAGTTGCCTAAGATGGATATCCCAGTTCCAGAACAGAGCAAGATAACCTTGAACCTCTGCTTCCACGTGAGTCCGGAGGTGCTATTAATGGCAGAGGAAGCCACAGGACCAGTTCTGCCTGTATTTGAGTTCTGAGAGGAAGGGATGGATGTTGTTTTTGAAATTATTTATCCTTTTTATGAGTTGTTAGTGAGGAATGGCCACTTGTTATCTACGTAGGCTCAAAGCTGGGATGGTTCTCAGTATCCTTTTGTGTTAGATATTACCACATACTACGTATATTCTGCCTAGGCATAGAAAAAAATGCTGGGTAGGTTATGATCATAGAGCTGTATAGTTGTTTTGATATTCATCTAGCAAGAAATAATCTTTTCCTATCTTTTATCCCCACCATTATCCCTCTGATACCAGGGAAGCTTACAGACAGTGAGAGTGAGCGAGAGATTTTTCTTCCCCCCCTGTAAATGCAGAACTCACCTTAAAGTAAGGAAAGTGTTCTGTCATGAAATTGTAAATCTCACTGACTGGCAAACTCCCTGTCTTGCTGTTCTTGAGTGCCATGAAGATCAGGATGCTTTAGGGAGAGAAAGAAAAGTATTTAAACCTGTTCTGCTTGCCTGTTCAGAAGCAGAAAGAAAGGCAATGTTTTTCAGTGCTTGTAATTACTGCGGCTTTCACTGTCACAGCATGAATAGGGATGATGCTTAAAGTTTCCACTTAGCTGTTTACAAGCAATCTCCTTACGTTGCATAACTTTTAGAGTTAATTGTCGAGGTAGAAGGTCCAACCTGAGTTTCAAATAAAGTATTAGGAAGTGGAATCAAGACAACAACCTTTAAATCCTGGCAGTGTGCATTATTTTTTTTTACGGTTGTGCTTGAATGCTTTAAATTGATACAGGGCACACAGAGAGTATCAGACTGACAATGACAGACGGTATAATTAACATTTGTCTAATCTTCTTCACTAGTCTGCCATTTGGGGGCTAAACCTACGTGGTAACTAGCATATCTGATATGTTTTCCAGGCATTTCCTTACCCTAGAAAATGGGGAAAAAATAGGTGTCTTTTCCAGGACCTGTATTAAAGCTAAGCATGATTAGTTTTGCGCTGATGAAATTTCCAACACCTAAGATTTTGTATTAGAGAAACGTCTAGCTTTTCTGTGGGTGATCAAGACTGTTCACATGCTTTACAGCATTTCATTTCCCTCTGCTTTGGCCCCAGAGTCTGGAACATCTTGTGATTCATGCAAACAGGACAGAGCACACTGGGAACAAGACAAATAGGAGTAAGCATGTTGTTGCAAATTATGCTGGAAATATGCCACGGGTAAACAGTATATTTCCTGTAATACTAGGACTTGAAAAAATATTTTATTACCTGTAGGAGTAGATGGGTTTGGGAAATAGAGGCTGCTGGGATTCTTGACTGCTTTGAGGAGCAATTCTTTGGTACGGGTAGTGTGAAGAAGTAATGTAGGTCACGGGATAGCTGCCTCCAGAGGGATACTGATGATACAAGAAAAGAGATGTCGCTTGGCTTAGCAACAAGTTCTCAATATATTTCTTTATTAATAACAACATTCAGCTGTAATTCTGAGGATCTTGTCCTCCACCTACATTTAATAGCTGTTTTGCAATGGCAGACCTAAAGTCTTTCTAGCATGATATTAAAAAACATTAAAGTTATTAGTTAATGCTTAAGAAGTGGAAGAAACGGTGTGTATGAAAAGAAACTGCCTGGGATGTTGGCTGCTACCAGACCCTGTTCAAGTGTGTTCTGTGTTGAAGTGTGTAGAAAAAGTGCTTGCTTTTATTATTGCCTGTTATGCTTCTGAGTTCTTGTAAAGAATGGGAGTCATTGCACCCTACCTATTGTTTCCACATAATGCATAATTTTTTTAGATCCCCCATCAGCTATCCCTGTTCTAGGTGAAGTATCTTAACCTGCTCAGCCTCCCCCAAAACATTGCGCTATGTGGACAAATAAATTAATGCTGTAATTTTATTTATACAAATAAAAAGGACAGAACAAGCTGCTTTGAACAATGTGCATCATAGAAAAATAAACCTAAGTAAAGCCACTGAAAGTGTAAGCAGAAGCAGAAAAGTTTTGCCTGAGCCTTGTTTGTTTCTGTGCTGTTTTTTTTAGCTGGAGAGGGATACACCAAGGCCAAAATCAAGTGTATGAAATCTGCTCCCAAGAGAACAGCATCCCAAAGCATCCATTCTGTTTGCTACTATCAGGCAAGACAGTAAAAAAAAAAACAACAAAAACAAACCACCAAACAACAACAACAAAAGCTTTTGTTCATGAAGGGCATCAGAATATGTATTAAAATGAATGTATTATGGAATAAGTTAGTAATGTCATTCCCTGGGTCAGGAGAGTGGCTTATGAGACATTTCTTCCTTCCCTGCCTCCGGGAGCCCAGACAGGTTTTCGTGTTGCCTGACTTGTGCTGAGGCTGTGAGGCTGCTCTGTAGGATCCCTTCATAATCAACGACAAGAAAAAGACTCCTCCAAGAGGCCTTAAGTCCTGTTAACCGCCACCTCAAGCACTTTGTTTTTCTCCACTTTCTATGTCAGAAACCTAAAGAGAATGAACAGGGCACCTAAAAGGAGATAGCGTTGATGCTGCCCTCACCCCATCCCTAGGGACGAGCAGCAGAATTCAAAGCTGTCTCTTCCAGAGATCTCTAGGCATGTCCAGCTCTTTAGGCCAGCTTTAGTTATGTCTTTATACAACTGCCACGATAGAAATATGTGCAATTCAAAAAATAGGTAGAACGGGGCAGATATTCCATATAGATAGTCCTGATTGCATCAGAGTTTCTGCAGGTTTGCTCTCAGTTTTCCATCGCCGCAGCTGGTCACGTATTTTTCTTTTCCCAATTGCAGTTTAAACTTGCTGGCGAGCAACTTTCAAGAAGAAAGAAGCACTGCCCCGCTAAGGGCAGATACCATCAGTTGGCTCTCGCTGAGGGAAAGGCTCCCACTGAACTTGGAGTGAGAGGAATTTCTGCCTCTTACAGATGAATCTTTCCAGATGCCAGGGCTAGGGCACGGCCAAAATTAGGAATCATGTCACATGCTATTAAAAATCTGCTTGCGTGCCTTCGCTAGTACTCAAAGGTTGCTGAGCCATGCTCTGGTGTTTTGCTGCTCACCTCTAGAAGTCCTGTGTCATGATTTTTTTTATGGTTCCTCTGAAAGACTGTAAGGTAGCTTTCCAGAGTTGTCAGGAATATTTTCTTGGTAATTAGTTTCTATGTATCCTTAGTTTCTCACAGCCATTCCTGTTTTCAGACCAACAGCTTCTGTTGCTCTTGGTCTTCATCCCCTTAAAAAGCTTGTGAGGTTACCACGTGCTTACAAAATGTTTTTCTTTATTCTGGATTTTGAATAATTTATTTCAGTTTCTCAGTAATTTTATTTTTTATTTTATTTTATTGATTTTTTTTTGCCTGCTTGCTTTTATCTTTTTTAATATTCAACTGCCTGAAATGGAATGTGGAAAAACTTACTGAATGCGTTAATTTGTTTGCTACAGTGAAGAGGGTGAAAGAAATGAGACATTCAGAATTAATCATGTCCTGCCACGTTAAGCTAAATACCGGGCAGAAGTGCAGGCTCCAGAGCAGCTACAACCTAATTACCACGTGCAGCTCGGTGCTGCCTGCTTTGTTGCATTGTGTGCAGATTTTTCGCTGGAGTAAAAAACTGGACAATTCATGCAATAACTCTGATTTTATTGGTTTAGTGGCTCTTTGAAAGGAAAGGCCACTAAGATGGGGCTGGTTGTGATGTTGTCACCAAAACAAGATCTGGGCGTTTTAAGGATTATTTCTGTTTTATGGGATTCATTACTCCTTTTTGAGGGAACAGAGGCTGGGGAATGGTCTGGTATGACAGGCTTGAGCTGGTTTTACAGTCGCACAACTGGCATGAAAGGTGTCAGTGTTTTATGGTGGGTGGGTAGGTGACTTCAGTGAGTGTCTGCTATTTCTTTCAGGTCAATAAGAAGTAATTTTTCATCTGAGTCACCCTTCGTGTTGTGTCCAGCAAAGGGAAGGTGAGGCCATTTTATCATTTGGACAAAATTAATGAAGGAATCCACCTCTCTCATCCCTCTAATGAAAAGAGAGGCATAGTTTGAACATCCTTCACTCCAGGCTAGGGGGCCCGTTCTCCTGAGCTTTGCTCCCTCCTGATTTAAATCGCTCTGTTCCATTCTCATTTGAAATGTAAAGTATTAATAGTGGAGCTGCTTCATGCAAAATATATTATTCCATTTCTTCTCACTCTTACATCACTGTTCATTTCCTACGATCTGATTACGGCACATGGATGGCAATTCTGCCTGTTATGACTTTGGCAGCTCGTACCTCTCATTTTTCCTCTCTGAGTGGTACAATATGTTGCTGTGCTTTTACTATAGTAACACAAGGAAGCACAAATACTGGAAAGCCTAACAGAAACCTGCTGCCTGTGAGAGATCTGTCCCAGTGCCAACCTGCAGGTGGATGGAGGACTTTCCTCTGGTGCAGTGCTTGTTGTGTCTTGCTCCCAGGGGATGTTTCAGCTGTATCATTGCAGGCTTTTTGGATGTGCTTAACCCCCATGGGCAGTACGAGTGTCAAAACGGCAGTGACAGGGGGAGGGTGCTCATTTCAGAACGAGTAAAGGAATTAAAAATATTCAAATGAATTAACAAGGTAACTGGAGCTAAAATGCTCACAAAAATGACATTTATACTGCCTGTGAGATGTATGGTGCTGTGGCGCATTCATAACCTCTGTGCTGCGGTCCCAGCGGGGAGCTGGTTTATAATTGCAGCGGAGCTTTTGTGGCAAGTTAATCCTTCATCTGGGACCCATTTCCTCTAAAACAGTAATAGTCAAATCAATCAATTTGTAAATTAGGATGGTAGTGTAACATCACCTTTCTTTTTATTCTGGTTTGATTTTTGTTATTACCTTTTATGACTTCTATGAAGTACTAGGCTAACCAGAAAAAGAAAAAAAAAAAACCAAAATTATGGTGGTGCTGATAAGAATTTAAAAGATAGATACCTTTGCCAAATATTATGGGGGAAAAAAAAAAAAAAGATAAATTCTGGCTAATGGAAAGCCAGACAAAGGGATAAAGACAGAAGTGAGGTTATTCTCCAGCCTCCCCACACCTATTTAAGCTTCTGTATGCTTCCAGAGCTTTGCAAGGTTACCCAAGGAGAGCAGTGGATATAAAAAGCCCTTTATATGGAAACTATTTGAACTTCAGCACTATCTGGATGCCCTGTGCACATTGCTCTGCCCTTGTGCAAAGTGTTGTACAAACACATAGCTGAAGAGAACCTCTGTGCCCCGGAGTTGTTAATCTGATTTAAATGCAAGGTCCAGTTAGTGGAGAGAGGCTGTCCAAGGCTGAGGGAGCAGGAAGAAATACTTCTAGGATTTGAGAGGGCTTGCTGAGCTGCCTTGCCATGCCATCCTGCTGATGGCTTGGACTCTCTGATGTTCAGAAGGGCCTTAAGTCCCCCAGGGTCTCTGTCCAGTGACTGATACAGTTACTCAGTCTTACTCTATTTCTCTGTTAGTGTTTATGTCTTATAACAATGAGACACCTCCCTTTAAATTTCAGTAGACAGGCAGGGGATTTACAAGCATGAGACACAGCTTAAAAAACATGGAATACCATTACTGGTGTACGGAGTAATTTCATTCTTCCTTAGCAATGTTTTACAAAACTCTAAAAAAATATGATTCTGAAGAAGTTATCTATGATGGGTAATTTACTTTTATCAGTGGTCAAAAATTCCTACATTTGACCATTCTTGTTCTTCACAGTCATTCAGCATCTGTATGCAGATATTACTTAAATTTTCTCATAAAGAAAATCATGTCAAAAACAACCTTACAGATATATATATTTCTTCATTGGGAACTAAATCCTTGGGGTGAATGGTATGATTAGTATTTCAATGACTCAGGCTGGCAGCACCATATGAATTAACAATCCCAATGAAATATCCCACAGTAATCTTTTTGTTTTGTTCTGTTTTCTTTCTATGGTTTTACATCACTGCTCTGCTAGTCATGTTTTTTATGCTTCTTGAACAAGTTGGATGGGATGGAACAATTGATCCCACAATATCAGTCATCAGTCAGTGGGATCTGAGGAGTCCTAACTCAAGTGTGAGCTTTTATATTCAAAAGTTATATATATATGAATTTGGTGTATATATATGTGAGTTCTGGTAGTTATTTCCACCTTTCTTTCTGAAAAATAGTCATTACCTTAATTTCACCTTAACTATTTTTTTTTTAAATAGGGTGTTTCAAGCACGTTTTTATCTTCCCAAACATCTTTCTTAAAGAAACTTTTGTACATTGCAGAGTTACAAAGTTTTGTACGCTACTTGAGCACGAAAGAGGAAAATATCAATGCATGGAACATCATCTATGTTTATATATAAAGAAACAGATTTTAAGACATGTAAGAGTGATGAAAATGACTTTTTGTAGTATATACACTCCCTGTATGTCAAATTTTTCAAGCTCAGTAGACCATACTCACAAGCATCTGTAAATATGTACTAACATCACATTTAAGGTTAAGAGATGCATGTATGATTTTACAAAGATTCTACATGTGTGCTGCTATGAAAATCTGAACTGACACATATTCAAATGACTTCCAAACACATTTAGAAAAGCATTGTGTCAGTTACTCCTGTGTGTCTGTAGTATTAATGATATAGTTTCATTACGGAAGAACAACCTTCATATCGTGCATTCTCATGCATCATCAGCATTGCACTCAATTATGCTTCAGCTGAATAATCTTTCACTGGGGATGATGTAACAGTCAAAAGATTGCAAAAGAGATTTGTGTGCCATCAAGCAAAAAGAGAGTGAGCATCATTGCCTTAGAAGTGTTTTTCTATGTTGGGTCTAAATTATAAGTATACAGTTACATATTTAATATTTTATTCTGAAATTAGAACACAGTAAATGCCCTGGGATCCTGAAATGCCAGTAGTTATGTGGCATTAAGTGGTTATACCAATGAATTAGCTGCTTTCAAAGCCAATTTTCTTCAGCAAAATGGTGAAAATATAAATAAGCAGTACTAAGTTCCATTTTCACAAATTATTTTTTTTTCTGACTGACCATTTTCAAATGCATGTAGGTATGGTTCTCTTGAGATCTCATTGTCGTAAACAAAATGTCTGTATATGAACACAAACTAACCTACAAATACAAATTTAGTAGGTATTGTCTCACCTATCTTTTTGAATTATTACCATAAGTACTATACTATTAAAGCGCAAGGAAAAAAAAAAGCTGTATTTCTACATATTGTACTCACCTGATGGAAAGGATGTGAGGAGCAATACATCTGCTGCACTTGAGGCTGATAGCAATACAAACCCGGCTGCCCTTCCAGTGGGGATGTCCTAAGCTTGATGTCTGAATCCTGCTGGAAAATATTCAGGGAAGGCCTTGTTAGAAAAAAAAAATCACCACAATTTAAAATAAAATAATCCCATCAATTTATACGTTACGCTTCTTACTTCTTTGGATTTGATTTGTTCACAGCAAGTGTTGCACAGATTCTGCTTTATACTCTAGTGCAGTACAAGAAGAAACATTCTTGCATTTATATAATTACTGATTTTTAAAAAGGAAATCCCAGTCCAAATTCCATACAGAAAAACAATTCAGAAAATGTCAGTTGCAGATTTATTTTTTCCCCCACATACACAAAATGCATGCTCCACTTTTAATTCCTGAGTGTGCACGTGTCTCTCCCCTTCTTTTCCATACTCCTTGATTTTATCTTGCAGGCTGTCAGTAACTCAAGCTAAGACAGGAGTTTTGTGATTAGGAAGAGGGTAAGTGGTGTAGTGTTTATTACGTAGTGCCCTTCTCCATGGGTCAAGGGACTGGCATCAGTTTGGCTCCCAAACTTAACGAATGTGGCTAGGAATTCTCTTCTGAGAGTTGGGGACACGGGTATTTTATTTCAAGGAACAAATAGCACCAAACCTTCTGTTTCAAAGCAGGGCTCTAATGATTATTTTTTATTTTACAGTTTAGTGTAGGGGTGCATACTGGGTTTGATCTGATATCCTGGCATCAAGCAAATGCCACATCCAGTAGTAACAATTGTCCATGCTATTTTGGTGACCATAAGACGATTATTTTATCCAGAAATATCAACTTGCCAGCAGTTTATAAGCTATTTAAGAGCTTTGAAGTTGCATGATAACTGAACTAGTGGAGACGTTAAGAGTAGCTAGCCTTTTCCTGAGGAGTCAGAGGTGCTTCGTGTAGGGCCACCTGTGGTGCTAGCTTTACATTCTCTACATCTTGCAGCTCAGGGATTTGGGAAGAAAATGGTGTGTGTATATATATATATTTCATAAACTGATTACAGGTTTTGCATTAGACTCATCTGATCTAGAGGATACATTATTCATCCAGGAAATAAGAGATTTAGATCAACTTCCTCCTCAGCTTGAATAGTTTCATTCTGCAGGTATGTAATCTGAAAACATCCCCTGTCCCCTGGTAAACTGTCTTAATCCATTTAATATTTTTTTTTAACCCCTCTTTCTTTCAGTAATGCTTGAATTCTTTGTCTCACAACCATTTTAGAGCCATTGGTAAGGGCACTGTCTTGACAGATGTAGTCATCGTTTTTTATCTGCACTATATTATAAAGATATGCTTTAAACTTTGCATTCCAGCAAAGATAGCTTGTGGAGAAACTGGAGTGTGATTTCCCTTGCTCTTCAGGGATCTCTGTGCTTCCCTGGACTGCCTCTATCCAGTATCTGAACTACCCCTCGTACCTTTACACTCTACATACCACAAACAGACCTTGTACTTAATTTTAAGTAGGATTAATGTCTTAAAGCTTCTCTTCTATTTATGCCAAGAAAAATGCAGGTCAGCTAAGGGGCTGTAACAAACCTATATGCATTCTTAGATGCGTGTTTACTTGTGCTTGAAACATATAGTTTTGTGAACTTTTATTCCTTGTGAATGCTAATTGATTGACAGTGGTATAAGCCTGTTGTCAGGGAGGATTTGAATTTTTAACATTCATGTCTACTGGAAAATCCTTTCCCTCGTGCATTTTTCTGAAGACTTTTTCAGTAGGGAAAGCAAGTAAAGCAGAGAGATTAGACAATTAAATGTAGATGTCTATCCTGAACTCCAGCTTGTGACTTCAAAAGAGACCAAATGTCTGCGTAGTTACATTGAGATAAGAAAACAATTCCAAAAGCATAATTTTGGCATTGAAAACGAGAAAAAATGTAGAAAAGATACTGACCATGACTTGTGAACTGTGATCTTGACCTGGAGTGCTGTACTGGAGACTGTTGCACCACGGTTGTTCGGAGGAGATGTTAGGAATGTGAGTTGGAAATGACTCTGACTCGTCAGGGCCCGTAGATCCTGGTAGACCCTCAAAACAGTCAATGCTTCTAGCGTTTTTGAAAGGTGGACCTTCTGGTGGGAGGGCTTGATGTGCTTCCTGGAAGACATCTTCACTGATCTGCCTCTTGTAAGGGTGAAAGGGGTTTCTGCTGCTCTTGAGAAACCTGTCATAATTTCCTACAGTACTTTCCTCGTAACTGTACCGCCTGAATTTTTCAGCGCTGAAGGAGACTTTAAATTTGTTCTTGCCACAGTGGATTCCTTGGCTTGTAGGGTATCTCCCATGAATCTGGTCCTGGACTGGAGAAGCAGGGCTGGGGCTGTGAGAAGACTCTGAACTTTTCCTTTCTGTCCTGCCGTCCGACTCATATGCTTGGCAGTTATAACTGGGATTATCCTGCAAAGAATTATTGGCATTTATTTAGGATTAGGATGAACAAGTATTTTTCCAGTACATTAAAAATTATATTATTGATGAAAAATACAGAGAATCCCTGAAAGGTCTAAAAGGTTTTCTGATCACCTGATATCCAAAACTGTTCAAAGGCAAATTAATAAAAGAATTGAGAATTCTAATTTGTGCACCTATCTGGGAAAAACAGGATGTCTTAGGCAACTTTTGACTAGTTGATCTGACAGTTTCAGAGAAAAGATGATGTATGATCAAGTGATGAAAGATTAAATGACAGGAATATGATAAGTGCAAATCTTGTCCTATACAAGTTTAGTCAAATAGGCTTGATCTCATTCTCTGATGGTGTTACAAGCTGCCAGATACGCTGCTGGTTACATCACTTCCTTTCATTAACATAGCCACACTCATTCTCTGAGACATGCAGGCTCTAGGCAGACATTTTAACCTTCTTCCTGTCTCATCTCCTCCCTTCCCTTTTGCACTTTAGCAAAAAGAAAATAATAGCTACTGAAGGGCTCTTTAATCTAGAGGAGAAAGGCTTAACGAGGACTAGTGTCTGGATCCTGAAGCTGAGCACATTCAGCTTGGAAATTATGCATATTTTTCCTGACATCAAGGATGAGTAACAACTCGGATGCCTTTTGAGAACGCATGCTTAAGTCAAGAGCAGGTTGTTTTGTTCAGAGGGAAAATGAAGGGGAAAATGTAATAATATCCTGTGATACACCTGAAGTTGGATTATCAGATAGTCCCTTTTTCCCTTTCCCTCTCTAAATCCAACTTGCTCTTAGATTGTTTTGGGAGAAGAGGTAAAGGAATATATGCCTTCATGGAAGAACCCGATTTGAAGAAGTCCCCAAGGGAAGTTAGCATAAAACCCAATGTTGTCAGTAGAGTGGAACATGGCAGAGCTTTTTCATTCATCTGCATGTGGGTCTGTGGGTCAGAGATATTAATTTAGGAACTTTGTTCTATCAGGGATTCCTGCAGAAAGCAAATCTGACCTCTGGCTTCTTATATCAACATGAACTTCTCTATAATTCCAGTACGTGTGTTGATATTTTATGTTAAATGAGAATTTAAAAAAAGCATGCCTATGTTTAGTAGTTATATACAGCTATATGAAAAGCAGTGCTGTCAATTCTCCACCTGAAACTTTCATAATAGAAATGTAACATTGGTTATTTTGCTGTTTGATGAAAAATAAGGAACTGGGTGGTTTATATAGATTTGTCAGAGTAAGGCAGCAAAAGCACAACATTCTTAGTTGTACTTCTGTTATAAAATGTTAACGTGGTGAATATAAAGGAAACAGGAGAGAGATCACTGGATTCCAAAGGAGTCAGAAGGAATTCTGTACTGCAATGTATTTTCCACTGGCAGGGAATGAACAAAATGTCTTGATGTATTTTTTTAATTATTGTTATATTTTTTTTTTTTACATTTTAAGTAGAAATAGGATGAAAGTTACTTTAAGTGTAGCATTTTTACTGGATCAATATCTAGCTAGATTGCTTGTTTGGTTTTTAAAGTAAGAATATGTTTTTTAAATGTAATAAGAATTGAATAAAACATTTTTTTTGTTATATCTGTTTACTTTTAGTTCCTAGGGATCAAATGGGAAATAGTCCATGGAGCTTAAATCAACTTAGAACACTAAATAAGATTTCTGTTCTTCAAAAATAAAACTTTCAGTGCTTACTTTGCTGCCAGTTAAATATGATGGAATTTAGCACAGCAGCTATTAAATATTCTGAGATTGTGTCTCTGAGGAAAGAGAACTGAAGTGGGCCATCTTACTCACAGTTTGCTGAACTGGGGATATTGAATCCCCCTGTGTCTTCATGAAGTCTTCTTGTTGGTCCCTTTCCAGAGTGTCCGAAGCAGAAAATTTAATATTAGATTGATCTTGAAGTAGTGAAACCATTACCAAGTCCACTTCAGATAGAAATCCTGTTATAATGAAATCAAATTACAATAAATATTGTCCTAAATGTAAAATATAAAAGAAACCATCTTGTTACCCAACTAAACAGTAGTAGATACCAAGCTAGACAATAACGTAACCTGCAGCATTCCTAATACTTTTTTTTTTTCTCTAGCTCTCAGAGAAATGCTGTTTAGATGTAATTACAATGAAGATGTGATAGTCTTGTATGGATTATTATTAATTAAAAATATTATTTTAATAGTTTTATAAATATTTTTTAAAATATTATTGTTTAAATATTTTTTTCAATCAGTTCATAAATTAATGAAAATTTATTGGTTTGGGGTTATGCAAATTTAGCAATATTGCTTTATTGAGATACTGTTACATTAATGAACTCTCAATGCTTTCAGTGGGACTACGTGAAACAAAGGGGTTTGTTGTTATCGTTATCTAGACTGGTGTGTACTATTGGCTTATATTTTTGCTTCTGCTTTTTTATTACTACCACTCTGTTCAGCACTTTCCTTCTGTTTTGCATAATTTAATGTATCTGAGATATGTAAATAACTTCAACATTCCATACCTATTTTTGTTAGTTATGTCTCCTCTCAAGTTCCCAATCTTTGGATATTTTAGACATATCTGATGGTACTTTTCAGAGTAAGATAAATACATTTAGACTTCTGGAGTTTTATTTTCCAACATTTTTTCGTAGTGTTTGTTCACTGTAAATTTACATTAAAACTGCAAAGGAAAAACTCGCATCGGTTTTTCATGTCATGCACTGAGTGTGTGCTCTTGTAAAGATGTCTTGTGTTTGTGGTTCAGATCTCAGGTGTATAAATCAGGAAAAAAGGCACTCCAGGAGTTAATTTACAAAGTCTTTGCCACATGTTTAAATGGCTGTTAGGTAAATAACTAAGGGGTTTATTAGGTTTGGTTAACAAAGATACATCACTTAAAAATGTGGAAAATCTATTTTGCCTTTATAGTTCAAAGAGAAATCTTTATTTACGATGAGTAAGACTACACAGCCCAAGGGGAGAAAGCACAATGGGTCTTGGAAATCAACTATGAGACCTCGAGTATATCAGGAAAAAATGATGTTAGTGAAAGTTCATCAACATCTTGGGCACAGGCTCATCTCCCAGTAGCTTAACTGGAGGCTGATGAGACGTGCTTATAACTGATGCTCATCTTGAAAGGAGCAGGTGAGAAAACTGGCAACTTGGGTATATTTATGTGTGTATATTTGTAAATGTTCCACGCTTCTGCTCTCCTAGTGCAGCTTTCCCACTTATCTGCAGGTTATATAAAGCTGTATCTGACCTCTCTTTTATATTGCAATTCTTCAACCCAACTGCCTAATTTGTGGTCTTAAGCATTAGAATTTCATTAAAAGCTTTTGTACAGTTACAGTTCATGCCTAATGGCTTTTGCACTGCAAGAAACATTTGACAAACGATCACAAAAAGAAAAAAAAAAAAAAGAGAGGAAAAAAAAGGAGGCACTTGGTTTCAAGAAAATTTGATTAATGAAAATAAGAAAATGGGAAAGTAAAAAGCTTTGATTGCAGAGTATAATAATGTCTGAAGCTTTTCTGTTCCCATTACATTTACCACTAGGATCTGTGACAGAACCAGATAAAAAGCATTAGCTAAAGGTTTAATTCAGGTCAGAAACAAAGTGCATATCTCATGGTTATTTGGAGAGTTAATACAATATGGACCAGGAAAACCAAATGATTATTGTCATTCCCTTCCAAAATTTTTGCCAGGCTCAGTTTTATGAGTTTTATTTTGCTCTCTCAGGGAAGCTGGTAGGGAAGGAGGAGTCTTATTGTCATGTAAATATTACAATAAATCTCCTCTGTATAGAGAAAGTGTTTTACTGAATAATAAATGAAAAGCAGCCTTGTACTAAAACAGTGTCAAGCTGATAACCCGCGTTTAATGGTGATTATTTAATGCTTTTGTTGAGAATCCATTTCAGAGAGATATTTAACATGGGAGGAAAAAAAAAGTCTGTAATTCCAGTGCTGCTTTCAGTTTTCACAGTAAGATTATCACCAATCATAGCCAGTCCATTAATAACTGCCTTTCCAAGTTACCCTTACTGTAGGAATGATGGAATGAACTATGGCTATGTCTAGCTGCCAGGGAAAAAACCTCTGTGTACTTCTTTCTCGTTTCTTCTTAGTCCAAACTTCTCACTCTGAAAGTCATTTGTGACTTCATGTTCACGGATACATATCTCAACAAGCTATGAGAACAGATAGGTTGAAACTGCCCAATTAATGTACTGCAGAATTTTATTTTTCTATTTTTTAATTTTGGGGTTTGTTTTTAAATTATGCCTTAGAGAAGCTGACTTTGTATTGTAGAAATAATATATAGATAAAATCCAAAACGCTTTGCATTGTGAATACGGGTTTTAGAAAAGGGAATTCAGACCACTTACTGGTAAATCTTTAAGAGAGAAGAAATTGAGGTCAGTGGGGGCTGTGGATAGCCAGGTTTACAACAAATCATTAGTAATGAAGTCATGCAACTGTTACTGGGCAACTGAGAACTTAAGAAACTTGTGGGTTGCCTAGATGTAGGGCTTGTAAAACAAAACAATGATGCTTTGATTTGGAAAAGGGAATTTGATTATCCCAGATGTAGCTGGAACCATTTCTCCCCAAACCCATGTCATTTTTACTTTTGTAAATGTTGCGTGACAATCCTGGGCTCCTATGATAAGATAACTATCTTCAGAAAAAGAAAATAGTGAGAAACTGTAACCTCAGCTGAGCGTTTGGATAAGCGAGGTAGCAGCAGCTGATCTATTAGCTCTGCATGGCTGGAGTCTGGTGGCACCGATCCATAGTTTAAACAATCCTTTTTTGTGTGTCTTTGGCCATTGGAGGGTATTTTGTCGGTGATACACTTCACCAGAGCTCGGCACTGGGCCGTCTAAGCAATCAGAGCTGCTCTAAACGCTGTATGTTACTGTAAATGCCCTCTCCACCCCTTGGGGCTGAGATCAATTTTCACAAGAGGAAGGTGAGTTTGGATGTTCCCCAATTCGTAATTCATACTGCGTGCACGCCTCAGGCAGCTTACTGATCCTCGCTTGACACTGGCTTTTGTGATCTACTCGTCCTCTCTGCCCCCTCCCCAAAGCAGTAAATCATCATTTTTCCTCTCCAAATCACACTGGTGCTTTCCAGTGCAGGAAAGAAGCAGCTATTTGGGATTTTTTTTTTTTCTTTCTGACTGTTATGAGGAAAGAAACCATCAAGTTTTACTATTCCACTTTTCAGATTGTTCTTAGAAATCTGTCCCCAATAATACCAAGTTCCCAATATTGCGGAAGTGACAACAGTTTTGCGTCTAAAACTTTCCAAGTATACAGGAATTTTTCTGTGTGTGATTATTTACATGGAAATTCTTCAGATGAAAAGGTTACTATTAATGAGAATCAGATTTTTTGTTTGTTGCTTAAAATGAATGCAAGCCCTTCTTTCTAAGCCTATCCCTGATCGATATATTGACACTGAAGTTTGTGCTGGATCATGGTTGGTGATAGCTGTCATTGCTTTGCTCATCTGTAACATCCTTGTCTGTCATTAAGTCTTGTTTTGCTTTTAGAAAACATTTTCTGGAGCAGGATTTCAGTCCACACAACACAGCACCATGCTGTGGTTTTGCTACATCAGTTGCTTACTCTCTTCTTGCTTCTGTTTCTAGTACATATTGGACCTTGATTATAGGATACTTGGATAGCTTTTGCAGTGCTTCTAAGTATTGTATTTTCTAATTTTCTGACTTTAGATCTGTTTGGGAGTTGCTTTAATTTAACTATGCTATTTTTGCTTAATTCTCTCACAGTTAGTTAGTGGGTACTGCCCACTCAGACTGCCTTCTGTCTCTTGAAATAACTTTGGCATGTTTAGTTGGAGTATTTGGAAAATAAGCTTGACTCATCGGGGCCAGAGCAGCCATAATCTCAAGGATGGGTGAAGAAAGTTTGCAACCATGAGACCTTTCTGCATTATATTACATGGGGTGTATTTGCTGCCCTCTGGGAGGGAGGAAGGTTTGGCTGTAGCTGTATTACAGCTTGCCTGATGGTACATCTCTCCACGTCAGTGAATTCCTATAGAATAGTTATTCTGGGAGTATTGTAAATAATGTGAATGCTACAATATTGGATGAGTTTACAAGCAGGGAGTTATTTACAGAACTCCATAGGTTCTACTCAATTAGATCTGGTCGTGGAATAATATCTTATGAGATTGGGTTTGATTTTCATTATGTGAACTGATAGCTAACTAGAATAACAATCAACTCAGTTTCATAAATCTCAGCAGAAACAGTTGTCTAGTGGGGTACTTCAGAGTTTAGGATTAACTCTAATGTCAATTATTATTTCCATTAGAGATCTCAGAGAAAGTAAATCAACTGATGACATCCACGTGTAGTAGTAAATTAGGATCGTGGGGGAACAGTTAATATAGATGTTACTGAAGGGAACTGAGTGCTAGAAACAAAGATGCTGTAATGACAAATGGGGAAAAAAAAAAAGAAAAAACAAAACACAAATGAGATGCCTGGAAGTAGAAATTCTCTTGGAAGTTTGGAAGTTTCAGGGATAGACAGCATAGTGGTCTGCAGTGTAATCCACTAGAAACGTTAAGGGCTGCCTGTGGCCAATGCTGAGCATGAAATGATCACTGTGTACAGCACAGAGACACAGGGCAATCGCCACCATGTTCAGATTTGCTCTCACCCAAGAGCAGTTAGGAGCTCTAAAACATCCAGATGCTTTCTGGTAGGTGGAGAGAAAAGTGGAGTGTTTGCAGCGGGTGTTTAATCTGCTATGAAAATACACTTATAAAACTCTTCAAAAAATAAAAATAATAAAAATGCATTTGTCCCATATCTATTGCATAGAAACAAACAATTTAAGAGGCAGACCCAAGACATTTCTTTGCATGGCTAAACATAGTCAAACACTTAGCCAGTGTCAC